AACAAAAAACATATAAGAACATTTTCTTTTTCCTCTGCCTCTACTCTCATTTCTTGAAGCAAGTGACAAATATATTGTCTAAAGCCCCTTAAAAATCCAGTCCAGGTTGTCCATACACTATTCACATTCAAAGATGCACCAACAGGAGAAAATAAAATTATATTTTGTTAAAAAATGACAATCCCTTCTTCAAACTTATCCCCACCTTTACCCTTACTTTGATTGTGTGCCCTTTTTGTTCTGTTTTATACAGTACCTAGCACAATGGGCTTCTAGACCATAACTGGAGTTCCTCAGTGTTACCCCAGTAAAAAAATAACAATAATAATATAGTATCCTTTCCTCAAATTCATACTATTAGATTCTCCATTCTCTACAATCCTAGAACTTGACTCATAAAACCTAGCAGTTGCTCAGTTGGCTTACCTAGAAGTTCTGGCTCTGGTTCCAAGAACCTACTGGAAAGTAAAGCAGACATTTTCAGACTTTGGTTCCTAAAACAGGTTCTTAAATCTGTTTTTATATATGTAAATAAGATGGCTATAAATGGGGCTACAGTTCAACTGTAGGTATCCTGTTTTGAAAATTTTGGCCCACATATGTACCATCAACTAGACTTCTTTCATCTCAAACCTTCCCACTCCCTCTCTATGATGTCTAGTTCAGACAGTGACATATTTCAAATATTATAGAGCTGAATTGTTATTTGTGTTTGTATATCTCCCTAATTTATAGCTTTTAGATGTATGCCTATTCATCTTTCTAGCATACTCTAACCAGACAATTTAATTATTGTAGTTTCATTTATATCTTTGGGGCCGATAATGTACATGTGAGTATTGTAATCATAGTTAAATAACACTAGTATTGAAGGCATTAATAGAAATTGAAAAATTATTATCTGTATTGAAGAGTATAGCCCCTCTTCTGTCATATTATCAATACATTTGGTACTTTTCCAATTTTTTCTATTTATCTTTCCTGGAGGTAATCAAAAAAGGAGACACTTTAAATAAACTAGCCTTCACAGAGGATTGATTATAGAAAATGTAATTTTCCTTTCTATCCAAGGATCTATTTACACACATAACTAAAAATTTTCACACTTGACTATATTGAAAGCACAATTATTATACTTTTTTCCATAGAGAAAGGTTTAATCAATGACATACAGCTGAATCCTGAACTTCTTACATCAGCGAAAGTTTGCCTGAATAAAGACTGAAAAAAGACTCGAACCACAGGAATTGGTGCATAGGTTCATTTGCAAAATTAACAAAAACCATATCTATATGTAAAACAATCCTGACAGCCTGTAATCCATCTTCGTGTGGAATGTTCACGTAAAGAGCTTCTATGTCCATGGTAGCCAGGATGATGTTTTCAGGAAGATTACTGATGTTCTGTGGTTTCCTCAGGAAGTTGATGGTGTGACTTGTCATTACCTAGAACCCACAACTTAAACCCCTAGAACACATTATTAACAATCTATCCTGGAACACAACCCCTCACTCTCACAGGCCTTGGGAGACAGGCCAGTCCTCACCTACAGACAACCCCCTAACCTCCAACAAATTCTTTCCAGTAACCACACAGCACACCTTCATCATACTCATCCCTGTAATCAACCCCAGTCAACTTTGTCCACGCATCTCTATAAGTGATATCATCACAGGACCTAACCACATAAATCAACACATCAGAGGCTCATTTAACTGCACATCCACTAATGTGATCTATGTCATCAAATGCCAGCCATGCCCCCTGCCATGTATAATGGCCAAACTGGACAGTCTCTACGAGAAAGAATTAATGGACACAAATCAGATATCTGAAAAGGCAACATATAGAAACGTATTGGGGAACATTTTAACTTGCCCAGGTAGTCATTAATGGATCTTAAAGTCACCATATTTTTTTCAGGCCAATTCCACAAGCCAATTCCACAGGGAAGCCGTAGAACTTAATTTCATTTACAGATTTGATTCTTGTCACAGAGGTATGAATAAAGACATTGTCTGGATGGCCTGCTACATTCCACATTCTAATGACAAAAATAAAAAATAGGTACTTAAAACAATTAGCACCTTCTCTATCAGTTTCATGTAGCATGAACACTTTAATTGACTATTTCTTCCCTTCTTTTTCCTCCCCAACCCCCTTTCCTATTTATTTGGAAACTGGACCTTTAATAACTCCATTCATCTGAAGAACTGGGTTGCGCCCATGAAAGCTCATGATACCGTCTACATGTTTTGTTAGCCTTTAAGGTGCTGCAAGACTATTTGCTGTTTTTTAAGTTTTTCCAATATATTCTCAGTTATCCAAGTGCAGGCCTATTGAGGTCAGTGGGGTTGTCCTGCAGGGATTTAGCAAAAGGTGATCTATTTTATTACTGTATTTATTCTTTACTCTTGCAGAGGGGCAGATCTGACATTTCCATGTCTAAAAAGCTATTTTCCTCCTAGTAAGATGAAGAAAATTGGAAGGGTCTTCTAGAACTCATCATCAAGCACATTCCATTGGTTGCATAGTAGGGGATGCTGTAGGAGTGATGCTGCCAGCCTTTTATTCCCTCTCTCTGCTTCATATTCCGTGGACAAAATATTTTGAGTCCACAATGCACCTGGCCCCTAGCAATCCAGAGATGGAGTTCCTCATAAATGGCAGACTGGAGAGCCATTGCCCTACTACTGGGCTGGCATATCTTATTTGTTTTTTTCTGCAGATGGGGTAACAGCCAGCCCATTCCTACTTCCCCTTGACTGATCTGTACATGCTCTTCCTATCCACTTTTTAGCTTTAAACATTACTTTGGTCACTGAACACTCTAGCAATTTAGTAATATTATGGTCAAATTTTGATATTCATTGTCCACTGTGCTTGAGGCATGACTTCTTCACTGACTCTAAAACAGTTACGATGACAAGTTCCTACGTACAGAAGCGTCTCTGCTAAAATTTAGTAGACTATAGCTAAAAGTGTTAAAAAAGGGGGAGGGATAAGCCAGCCCATGTGATGAAATAGCCTCTCTTTGTCAAACATAGTTGGTTTCAGTTATGATTCAATATGAAAAGACAGATTCCTAAGGAAAGTTTCCACATTTTAGTGCCATTCATAAATATTTTAGCTTGCTTTTACTTAATGCACAAATGAAAAAACCATAAAGAGGATTTGACCTTAAACCCTTAATTGACAAAGACTAGTTTAAATCCTTTGCAATAGCCGACTAATGCAGTACCATTATGAATCATAAGGAATCTTAGCATGATGCATTCCCATTGTCACTGAACTAGTTAAAGCCAGTGAGGCATGACTAAATTGTTGTGACATTTTCCCAGCCCCACTATTACCTGTCAGCTGGGAAAAAAATCAAGGCGTCAGGACAAGCTTCTATATTGATGTGCTTGCTGTTGATATTAATTGATGTAAATGGATAAGCTTGTCCATCAACAGTAACAAGCACATCTGCTCATTGTAAAAAAAAAAAAATCTTCTTAACCTTCTGTTCCTCAGACTCCTTTGATATGAAAAATAATCAGTTCTATATTCAGCAAATATGATGACTACTGTTTGTTTTTATACTTTTTTCTAATTTGCTGACAACGTGAAATATGAGCTATTCTCTTTTTCATGTTTTTGTTCACAACGGATTGAGTTATATAAAGTAGGGCATGGACAAATTACAAAAGCCAGTACAAGCAAGGTCCCTAATAGTCTTATATAACTGAAAACAGTCTGCAACTGCTTTAATCCATCATCTTCTTTACTGCTCTTTAAAAAAAAAAGAAGAAAAAAAGCTCTTTTCCCTCCTTTGTTTTTTAAGCACCAAGAAGTTTTCCATGGTATAAAAAAATGATACTTTTCGGTGGAACGTACCACAAGCCCTTCAATGAAGGGTCCCTATATTTCAGGAGTGGAGCTACTAATTCCAGAAGCATATTACAACTTGTGATAAAAAAAGAGGTCTTCTAAAGCACCTTTTCTTGATGTACAGTGTTTGTGGCAACACAACCTCTCATGGAGAGACACACATCTTCTCAAATGTCATGCTATGTACCGTGATTATTTCCCCTGCCTGATAAAAGAGGAATAACAACAATTAAAACTATAGTATAAATAATCCTGATGAATGCCATGTATTTTATTCAGTTGGGATTTGATTTTAATTAGGAATGTGATGTCTTATAGCAGAAATAAGTATGCACTGAGCATCATGTTTGTTGTTTTCAAATTACATTAATGAAGACAACTGTTGTTGCAGACTATATTTAGCATTTCTGTTGATGGAACCAGAGGATAATTCAGAAGTGTCTCCATGTTTGTGAAATATTTACTGGAAAATAAAACCAAACAACCTGAAGTGAAAGCAAATGGAAATGCAATCAAGGCAAACAGAAGTAATTTCAACATGTTACATAAGAAAATAGAGATATCTTGGAGAGAAGTAAATTTAGATATTTCAAGTGCCTAAATCGATCCATCATGGTAAAAGCCTTCTACATAATTTCTTATCTATTATCTAACCTAATTGTTCTTCAAAGTTTGACTAACCTGAAAACAGTATGAATGACTGAAACACTCATGAAAACTGATGAAGGGTTCTGAGATACCAAACTAAAGGCTACGTCTATACTGAAAGGCTTTTCCGCAAGAGGAAATGCAAATGGAGTGTCCATTTGCATATGTCGTGCTAGCATTTGTATTTACTTCTCGGATCCCTTTTGCACAAGAGGTTTTTGCGCAAAAAGGAGCCGTGTAGATGGCTCCATTTTGCGCAATCCCCCCTTTTGCACAAGAGCCATTTTTCCTGAAAAAATGAGGAAGAACAACTCTTGCACAAGAGAGGGGTTTTGCGCAAAAAGGAGCCGTCTACACAGCTCCTTTTTGTGCAAAAGCCTCTTGCACAAAATTGGCCGCTGATTAATTATGCACATGAAGCATGGTGATATTCCACTCTGCGCTTCATTTGCATAAACTTTTGTGGAAGAAAGCTATAATGTAGACGTAGCCAGCCTTGCAGTATAGACATAGCCGCTAGCCTGTGTTGATTCATGTCCTCTTTTCCATAAACAGCTCAGGAAGGGCTTCACAATTCTCCAGAGGCTGTGCCTGTAGATCCAGATGGTCATGTCTGTAAATAGTTTAAACAAAGAAAGGCTGTTATTCTTCTGTTGAATTATTTTTGTTCTGTACTTTGCACCTCTACTACATATGTAAACTACTCCCACGCCATTTCCTGACAAACAAAATTTTGCTCTGAAAGCTGAAAGTACTAGTTAGTTACAGCCTATTTTTAGTATTTATACCACGAGAAAATCCAGTATTATGCTACTTGTTGCATCCCAACAATTGCATCCCATTAGACTGTCTAACGTACAGAACTAATATAAGAAAGTGAAATTAAGAATATTTTAATTGTCTCACACTTATTCAAGAAAGCCAGAAAATTGTTAATTAATACAAACATATCAACATGCTAGATGTAAAACTTAACTTTTGCTGACTCATTCTGTCATAAGAAAATATTTTAAAAGCTGTCGGCAACAGCGTTTACTATGGTATCTTTCTGAAAGGTACAGTTCTGTTGGGTTCTATATGAGAATATATTTGAAGGGCCAAATTGTTTGCTGGTGTAAGTGAATAAAACTATGTTGAGGTCAACGGTGCTGTAGCAATTCATAACAGCAGAGAATGTAGTCCTAAGCCTTAATATTAGAAGATTCTCATTTTCTACCACGTTACTAATATATGTCTAACAATGCAGGGGGTTGGGTATCACTATAAAGAATCCAATCCTATTCCTACTGAGGAATATTGGTTATTTGAATGACATATTATATGTCATATATATTTAGAAAGGGGCCATATTTAAGAAAGTTTGAAATAAAACCCTCTAGTGAGAAAATTTTCAGTTACACTTGTTTTATGTATAGCTTCCACAAATGCTTAAACTCTTAAGAACTTCATATTTCCCTCAGTTCCAACATAGAAAACCCATTTATATCACCAGCAACCAATGTTCCCTCTAGTTTTTTCCATCCATGTGTGGAATAATTTTTTTTACATGCACCAAACATATATGGATATGTACCACTAGTAGAAACTAGGGATGTTAGATATTGGGTAATTGAATAATTGTGTAACCGCATAAAATCTTAGTGGTTACACGACTATTCAATAATCCCCAGGAGTGGGGCCAGCAGCCAGTGTGCTCCCAGCAATTCTGGGGAGCCCGCTGCCTCCCTGTGCTACAGTTTCTGTATCAGAAGCAGCAGCACAGGTGAAAGGCAGGGGGAGCCGGTCTACGAGGGGAGCCAATCTAAAAACCAGCTCCCCATGCAGCCCAGCTGTCTGCTACCCCATGCTGCTGACTCTGATACAGAGAGGGCAGCACAGGGTGGCAGCAGCCCCTGTCTGTTGGGGCTCTGAGCTCCCCATGGGCAGAGGCTGCTCTTCAGGATGCTACTGTGAAGCAGCCTCTACCCACAGCGGGCCCAGACTCGCCACGGACAGAGGCCTGCTCCCTGGAATGTGGAGCAGCCTCTGTCTGTGGGGCACTCAAGCCCACCGCAGGCAGAGGCTGCTTGCTTCACTGCAGCCTTTCCTCTCCCCCTCCCCTCTGCACCCCTGCTAATGCCTCTGATAGAGGCAGGCGGCACCCAGGAGCTGATGCTAGGAGAAGGGAGAACTGTCTCCCCCCAGCACCGGCTCCTGCTCCCCCCACCCCCTTGCTGCTTCTGATATAGAAGCAGCAAAGGGGGGAGGGAAATGCGTGTTGTCGACAAGATTAACTGATAAGCCTAGGCGTATCGATTTATCATAT